CTGCTTTGGTCTGGATGAGATCAAGCAATGTGATGACACAAAGTTCTGCAGATTGCTCCACCTTGATGGCACACCATCCAATGGCCTACACAACTTTGCACAAAGAACAAAGTCAGCATACACCTCTGTGATATATTCCTTCAGTTCTGCCAGAACCTGAGCAGTATTGGCTTGGGATGCCAAACGAACCATGATGTCCAGTTTCTCTAGTTTAAAATAGATGGGACCATTATATTTCACAAAGACTGATTCCCTGCTTCAAGATTCCAGGTCCTTTCTGGGCAATTGGGTTGATGGTCCTCAGGGTGAGTACTGTACCTCTGGCCCCCCAGACAGCAAAGTGGCAAGTTGGAGGGGCCAACTTCTTCAGCAGCATATTGTACTAGTGAGAGTCCTTGGGTAACGACTCTACACATCTCATTAGGACTTTCACTGCTGAAAGCACTGCTGAATTGGCATGACATGGTCGGGGAATTGCCACTCTCAGATGCTCTGAGTTTCCCTGTCATCTTTAGGGTTGTAATTGGATAGGCAGCCCAGAATAAAAATCAGGGCCCATTCAGGTCATGGAATTATTCAATTAATATAGAAAGAAATGTGGAAATAAATAGTAGAAGAAACAACTCAGTGAATGTGGCCACTTGTGAAGAAATGAAGTGGGATAGGAGTGGGGGAGAGGGAGAAGGTAATGTTGGAGCCCTTTTTTATTTACTCTTTAACCACTATTTGACTTTTAAAACTAGTACTGTAATAAAAATAAAAATTAGCTTCATAAGTGCAAAGAACACTAGGTTGAGTCATTGCCAGTCAATATGTATCAAAAAAATGGAAACAACATTGGGGGAAGGAGGAGGAATGACATTTATATAAGAAAGTCAATTTCAAAGTAAAAAACATTAAACAAGATACAGAAGGCCTGCTTATTGTGATAAAGGAGTAAATCTATAATGAATAAACAAGTCTAATGTAACATCAAAAAATATAAAATTAAAAACTGTTAGAAATACCAGGAGAAAAAAACAACTGGGAGACTTTAATATCATGACTTTATGATTTGAATAAATAAGACCCAAAAAAATATTATATATAATACATATTGAATTTTGTACCTTGCAAAGGGAAAACTATTTCTTTTCTAGCATCCATAGAACATTTCCAAAAGTTTATCATATTTTAGTCACAAATCTCTCTAAATTCAGTAAATTATACTGACTGTGTTCTCTGACTATAATGAGTGTTACAAAAAGAGCATTGTGCAAGGCAGAAGTATTGAAAGTAACTCCCTGGCAGTCAAGGTTGCCTAGTGAAGTGGCAGTAAGTGGGTTGATATAGCCTAGATCAGCAGTCGCCAACCTTTCGTACCTCACGGACCGGACCACCAGTGGTCCGCAGACCACCAGTTGGCAACCGCTGGCCTAGATGATAGTACCATGCTTTCCCCAATATGGTAACCACGAACCACATAAGGCTACTTCATTTTAATTTTAGAGTAATTAAAATCAAGTGAAATTTAAAATTCAGTTCCCCAAATACAACTAGCCACATTTCAATTGCTAAATAGTTCCATGAGGCTAGTGGCTACCATATTTGATAGTATAGATCTAGAACCTTTCCATCAAGATGGGAAGTTCTATCAGACAGTACTGCTGTAGAGATCCTGGAATAAATGTGGGAATTTTTGAACCTATTCAAAATCTAAAACATGTATGCAACAGCTTGATTCCCTAAATTAGTAACTGGCCTGTGCCCAAAATACCCAAAAGCTAGTACCAATGAGGTTGTTTCTTTGACTCAAACTAATCTTAACACACAAAAACATCAGGATGATACAGATAGATGGGATTACTCTTTATAATAGAGCATAGATATCTATATGCCTGTCCTACCAGTGCCAACTTTTAAAGGGTACATTTTGGGTTTGGGGCAACTTTATAAATGGCCTTCTGCCAAACTCTTGTCCCTTAAAATCATGTTTTTTAAAACCACTTGATGTCTTCAAAAATAGAAGGAATGTTATAACAACTTGTTTCTTTGTTGACCTGTTACTTATTTTATACTAAATGCCTGACGCACGAAATTTGTGCATGGGTAGGGTCCCTAGGCCTGGCCAGCGATCAGGGCCAATCTGTGGGGCAACTGGCGGGGCTATGGGGGGGGCAGCCACTGGCACCCGCCTTTGCTGGCCTGGAGCCTGCAGGCTGGGGGCAGTTCCTGTGTTGTGTGCCTGCCCTCTGGTGGTCAGTGCGCGTCATAGCAACCAGTTGTTCCGCCATTTGGTCAATTTGAATATTAGGCTTTTATTATATAGGATACTAAACATTTATACTGTAACACTAGAAAAGAGATAGTCTAAAATAGATTGTAAGTAGAGAGACATGCCTAGACTCTGGATGTCACAAGAAAGATTTAAGTTATAAATTAAGATTGACTTTGGAAGCCAATAAAAACCCCTTCGAGATGGCCTGGTACCTTGCTTATTCACATGGTTCATGGCAGTCTTTTCCTAGGAGACAGCAAAGAAAGAACCTCAAGACATTTTGGGAACCCCCCAGAACTTGAGGAATTCACCCAAATCTATAGGTATTTCAGGCAAACGTTGATGATAGCTATGTGGTTTGGCTTCTTTGCCCTGAGAGGCTAATTAAAGTTCAATCTGGAGCTTCCTTATGAGATTCCAGCAAAGCAGATTTAAGAGAGCCTTTATGATCAATTACTATTCTTGTTTTATGCAAATAAGTCTAAATGGAAACTGGAAGTAAATAGTCTTGATTTGGCCATCTTTGATAAAAAAAAATTAGGGTGATTTTAGGGGGGAAAATTATGTTTCAATAGAATCTAGCCCTGACTGTGAATAAATAAAAATAAAAATAGTATCTATAATACACAGTTGTGGAGATTAGCCTCTAGTTAAAGTTTTATTTTTCACCTACAAACTAAATTGGATCCTGATTTTTTTTCTAGTATTCTTCCAAACTGATGTTTCATTTTCCCCCATCCTTTGACTTGGAATTATTGAGAACTAAAATTTTCTTTCTGAGCTTTGCACTTGCAAATTACAGCCAAAGGACCTGAGACAGCTCAAAGTTAAAGAATCTTAATGACCGATGTTATGTAAACCATGCAGAATTTAATCACCAGAAATGTCCAAACTGCAGATAAGGAAGATCAGATTGTCACTGCTTGCTTTCATTCCAGCGAAAGAAACTATCCTTACATCTAAAAATCTTCTGGACTGACAAGTCTTACAGAATCCAAACCTTTTATAATTTGCTGTGATCATTAACCTTTGTTTTCCTTCTGTTTTCATAGGCATACCTCTTATTCAATAGCTGACTGCTTGTTTACACAATATAGGTCTCACTTTGGGAGCCCATCTGCATCTTGGCCTCCTGAAATGAGACTTAACAATTTAACTGAACTGACTTATTTTTAGGACTGCATTAATTGAGTCAGTGAAATATGAAGCAGTCTGCTAACTTCATTTCTGGAATGGTACAATTCCATAAGATGATGAATGATGCTTCAGGGATTCTGGCCTACCCCCTGTTTTGGAAGAATCAGCTAACAGCCTCTCTGTTCCAGGCTCAAATCCCATTCCCTTGTTTTCCGTAGATCAGAGAGATCTCCATACCCTATGTAGGCCAGGACCACAGCTCTTGTCAGCAGGAAGCAGTCACTGAAGACATCATAATTTATCATCACACCTAAAAGATTTTAGAGATGGAAGTCCCTGAGTGGGAAATGAGACAGGCTAGTAAGACGTGACAAGTAGAATAGGGAAACAGTTAAATGGTCAAGCAGTTTACAGCCAGCTAGTGAACACAAAATCCTATCTTCCCTAACCAAGGACACTTAAGAGTAAATGGTTTAGACTCCTCCCCAACCAGAGGATAAATAGCTTAAATCACCCCACTTAGGGAGACAGATAGCAGAAGTCAAATTAGTGCCATGTGCCAACCACACCCAAGGATAGATGCGAAATTAAGGGAATAAATCTCATTTTGGCACATCTGCATAAAACGGATGAATATCCTATTGAGATTCTCCCCTAAACTCTCAGCCTTTAAAAACTTTCAAACACTCCACCTCCTATAGGTCCAGATTCTCTTAATGATCCTGATGCTTTGGAAATTATGTTAATCTCTTGGTACATGAGTGGCTATCCTACTGGTTACTATATGAGTTTCAAACAAAATAAAAAAGAAGGAAGGTGCTCACATTAAAAAAAAAAAAAAAAAAAAAAAAAAAAACCAGCCCTGGAGGGTTTAGCTCAGTGGACAGAGCATCGGTCTGTGTACTGAAGGGTCCCAGGTTCGATATTGGTCAAGGGCATATGCCTGGGTTTTGGACTCAGTCCCCAGTAGGGGGCGTGCAGGAGACAGCCAATCGATAATTCTCATCACTGATGTTTCTCTCCCTTCCTCTCTGAAATCAAAACATGTATTTTTTAAAAACTCACAAACGAAGGTCCCAGGGTGTGCTCTCCCTGCAGGGAGCACACCTGCGCCTTTCCCTTCCCCTTTTTCCCCAACAGGCATATATCTCCTAAATTCTAAGGGACCCCACAAGGCTCACAACCAAGGGAGCAATGGACAATGGCAGCTTGTTCCAGACTAAGTCCCTGAACCTGTCTCCAAGGCCCCCTTTGCTCTGACTTAGCCCAAGCAGTCCCACCTGGGCTCTCTCCTGGTGCTTCTTCTATCTTAAGCTCTTGTGTCAGTCCCCAGCTTTAATAGGTAGATACATACATAGATACATAGATACATAGATAATAAATAGATTTCAAGCTCTCAGAGAGCAGTGAGCAAGCCTCCCCTGAGTTCTGGCCCCTCCAAATATCTAGCTTCTCACTTGATGATACACTAATAGAATTAATGTCATGCGTTCTGCAAGTATTCACTAAATGTTCATTGATGTCCTGCATTCGCCTACTCTAACTGATACTTATCGCCTCCCATGCATTCTTTCTGATCCATATTTTCTTTCTCTTTACTTAACAGACAGTGTGGAGCATTCATTATTAAGACAAATGGGCAGCTCTAGTCCAGCTCAACTGATTTCTTGTCCAATGATCCTTGTGTGGCCAAGACCCAGCTTCAACCAACCGGCTAGAAGCTGCCCATTGTGAAACTTAGGGTTAGTTAATCCTCGCCATATTTATTCCACTATAAACTGTCTAAATTTGATGAAATTTGCTTTTTCAGCTGTTTTACAAAATTATTTAGGTAGATGTGGCATGTTGGTTTTTTTAATGTGTTAATCTAATGTTGTGACATTTTCTACATATTTTATCCATTCCATAAATAATAACCACAATGAGAATAGTGAGATGTCTTTCATTTTTCTCTGCTTTGCGTTATTCTCAACCTTTTACATGTTATGTGGCATATTTGTTGCTATCTATTTTAATATTTAGGATAAGAGTCATATCTAATTGTAATAGAATTTTAATACTTTAATGCTTTTTAGCACATATTTAATCTTAATGATTCAGTTCTGCTTTGCTATTTGGTCATTTAATAAGCGTTTGTCTAATATTTTTTATTTTTTGTTACTGCTACTCTTTAATTTTTTTCTGCCATGGTCTTCAAAATTTGCATAGTATTTATACTTTTTGATAACATTTTCCAAATATTAGAAATACCATCAACATGATCAGTATTCTTGCCTTTTCATGTGATTATTATGACTATATTAAAATTGTTCTCTAACATTTGAGATAATGCTGCAGCCTTCCTATAACAGAAGCCATTTGGTCTCAAATTTTATATAATATGGATCACCTAATAGAATTGTTCTGATAAAAGGACTCACCTCTGACATAACATTGGCTAATATTCCACTGTATTTTATTGTTCTTGGGATGCTTTAATACTTTTACCTTTTCTTCTTATATGTTTCCAATATATTCAATTATATATGTTATTCTTTTTTTAATGTTATTCTTAAAGGACAGTTGTTTTTGTAAAGAGCAAAACTATTTTTACATCAAAGGAAAACTTTAAATTCTGATTCTAAAACCAAGTCTTATAAAATTGGGAAATAGGTAGGGAGGAAAAGCCATTGTTCAAAAATTACAGAGCAAATCACAGTGTTATCACTAAAATTTCTGTACTAGTATAAAAAAAAAACCTTCTTACATACATTTGCAGTTCTTTCACTGACTTCCTAATTTAGAACAGAAGGGGTAAATCCATAAGTATTGGTATTACCTTAGTAAATCTCTCTCTTCCATCCCCAAATGTCTTCCGTGCTCAGCAGCAGCAACAGAAATAACAGGACCTAGACCCCCAAGTTGTTCCTGGTGAGCCAAATAGGATGTTTCTTTTGAAACCATAATGAACACGTTTGTCAAATTGTTTCATGAGACCAATAGGCCATATGAACATATACTAGCATATAAAGATTCTATATACGTTCATTATTTTCTGTTTTTAGAAATGTAAATAGACTAAATTCCACAATGAAATTTCAAAAATTTTTGTTTATAAGTAAAAATTATTAACCACTGATGTTAGATCTTCTTTTAATAGCACTATCCTGAGAGCACTTAATCCACTTACTTGCTTCTTGAAAGTAACTTTCTAACTCGTCACCTTTGCTTACATTTTGCATACCCATTACAGAGAATTTAGCTTTCCTTATTTTTTTCTAAATGTTGAATTGTTTGGGGAAAATATCCAAAATTTATTCTAACGATCATTTCTTCATAAAAATCATCTAGTTCATCTACTTTTTTTTATTAAACATCCTTCAAACTAAACATCTTCGTACACTAGGTTAAGGGTATAGTTTTCACTGACATGATTTAATCTCAGATCATGCAGTTCCAAGAGAATCTTGTATCTATTGTTAGTAAAGTACAGTTTGTTATAGTAAGGCAAGCTTGTATCAGGGTATGTCTGAATAGGGTCGTGTGTAAGAATGTAACTGCATCTTTTCTCAGAGGAGACTTGCCAAGTTCCAATATGAATATTAGTACCTGAAATATGAGTATTTGGATTCAGAGTTAGGAGTCCTTGTTCTCCAGCACATTTTTCTTGAATTTCACTCCCATCCTCACTGATAAACAGCAGACAGACTAGATATGATTTTCTTTATAGAAATCAAGGCTACTTACCTATAGACAGATTCCTTTGGTGTTTATCAATCATAGCAAGTTCTGCTTTGACTGCTGCTCCTTATAGTAGTCAGAAAGTTCTTTACTTTGCTGATCTCTGCTCCAAGTTCTTCTTGCAGAAATTATATATTTACCCTTCAAATCAGGATACTTGAGACTGAAAGGGGGCACCAAAAATAATTAAACTAATTCCTGAAATATATACTATTGACCAACAAAGAAGTTTATCTTATTAATAAACCTATAAAATCATTCTATTCAAAGACTATTTTTCAAAAATGAAACTCTAATAATACTATAGGCAGAAACCTATACTGTCCCAGGAAAATTAATAGGTTACCCTATTAATATATTACAAAATGAATGTAACATTATACTGAGATTAAAAAATATATATATAGTCTAGAAGGGATTAAGCCATAAGAGATAGGCCCGAACTCCTCTATTACTTCAACCCTTGAAACATTATGGTTTCTGTTTTAGCCACTGATACAGCTATATAAATAGAATTATATTTAGGTATAAGCCTGTTTCCCTATGTTATAAACATAAAATCATAGAATCATATACTTAAGAACTACAGAGTCTACAACTGGGAAATAGTATTAAGATATTAGTCAATATATTGATAACAACCCTGTAACTAAATTTACTATATAATTACTAGGTAGTTCTAAAGAAAAGTTTTGGTTAAGTTATTGAAGATTGTTTAGAGTCCATGATAATATTCCCAATAAAAATTGTATTAACTTTGTTGATGATGATAATCTGTTATAAACACATACTTGGAATATCACATTTTTGCTTACTATATTATTCCAAGTTAAAAATAATACCTTATGTTTATTAGCAACCTTATAATTTATGAGCACTTCATATACATTATCTCATTTTATCCACTTAATGTTTTTGTGAGATAATCAGGCAGATTTTTATGAGAGAAGTAAGACTTAGAAAAGTTAAGAGAGTTGCCCACGATGACATAGCTATTAAGTGGTAAAACCAAAAACCTCTAATTACTAATTGTCACCTGTAAGGAGCCAAGGGAATGGGGAGGCTGAGAGGGAAAGATCTTAAAGAACACAGCACTTTTCAGAAATAATTCTTGTCTCATCCAAGAGTTATCTTTTGTTGGACACTAAAATTAAATCGAATACAAATTAAATCTTAGACACAAATAAAATGTGTATTCTAATCCCTTAAGCATCTGGAAGATTGAATCAGAAATTATTTCAATTGTAAAATAAAGTATGATAATTCTAAAATAAGCAAATTGTGATAAACATGAATTTGTTTAATCATGCTTTTATCAAATAACCTAAGTATGAACAGTTTCCTAACCAAAATAGTAGAAATAGAATTATCCTAGAATTTAGTTATACAACTCAGTATTCTGGGAAATATAAGAAGGAAGACAAGTTAAGGAAGACCTTCTAAATTATCCAGAAAAACATTAATCCCTCTGATAGCAAAAGATAGCTACAGGTGGTGCCATCTACCCTTTATATTTTGGGAACATGGCACATTTCCACATTTTTTAAAGCATAAAGTCCACCAAGAAAAACAAATGAACATTTGGTTGCTTTTCTTCTTTCTTTCCATTTTTCTTGCTAATAACTGCAATGTAGGTATTTATCAGTTTTTGTATAAACCTTCCATGTAGGGTTTGCTATTTGGGGGAAAGATTATTATAATTTAGGAGTTTTTTAACATCCTAATGACAAGTACCAAATTCATGCCACCTTTTATACTGACAAAATGTGTGTGGTTTTAAGATGAGTGGCTTAATAACAGAATTGCCTACTGAAGTCTCCTTAGCTCAAAAATTGCAACAGTGCCCAAGGTTAAAGATAGCCTCGTGTCATTGGAGTGAATTTTCTCATAACACTCATTTGATAATTATCTTATTTTACAGTAATTCATAAATGTTTCTTTTCTGGTTAGAAGATTGTTTTGGAACTTCACAAAGTATCCTGAAGTGATGTGAATAAACTCTGTATAATTGCACTATTTAAAACATTTTTAACCTTAGAGGCATCAAAGTCTGATAGTTCATTAAAATTCACCCGTTGTTTTTATGAATTACTCCTGACAGTTACCTACCCTAGCATTGGCAAGTTGTTTCATTGACTGTTAGTAGGCATGCTCAGAGTCTTGGTAGATCAATAGATGTCAAATGTGCCCAAATCATGGAAAGTACAATGGTGTATTATTAGACATCCCTTTTTACAGAAATAACTTCGCTTTTTATTTTGCCCAGTTTAGTTCATTGCCATTAATTATATAGAGGTTGCTAGTTTTTAGAACTACCAGAACATTTGGTATTAAATTTCTGTTGTCAGATTCAGGCTGGGCAATTGATTTGGCCTACATGCTTCTTCCAAAGTTCTATTCAACTTTATGAAATAAACTCAGGCTCCATGATGCTTGCATTTTTCTTGAACAACAACATTCAAACTCAAATCATTTAAAGCAGGCAGAGCAAATGATGGGATTTTCAGGCAAAATAATTTGGCTCAACACTGATGCTCTGAAGTAGGCATTAGTTAAAATGTATAATTTTCCTACTCAAGTGTCTTGAGCAAAGCCGTATCTCCAGCAATCCTTACACTCAGCCATGGATCAAATAAAAACCACTTCTTGAACCAGGGTATTCATTGGATGTTTTACTTAACAATAGGATAAAATATTACCCTGTTAATAGGAAAGTTCATTAATAAATCCCTGATTTTCTCTGCATAGTTGCTTTCTCAACCCTAGGATCTGACTCTAATTTTGTATATCACTAACTACATAAATCTTCTTTTTAACAAATCTTTATTAAAGTTCAGAGATAGCACAAAAGAGGAATAGCCTAATAATTGAGGAATACTATTAGATATGACTCTTCTCAGGTCCCTTTTA